TGTAAGGGTTTACATCATCTCCCCATTGCAGACCCAATATCCCTCTCACCCTCACAGCTAAGTAAAAACAGCAAAATGCACTACAGAGATGTGCCACAATTAGAGGGAGGAACTGCATCGATACTGATCATGGCTCACTTGGGAATAAAAAGGCTCTAACTAGCCGCATTACGGGTCACTTCAGTGCCACTTTGGCTAAACAAACTTGTACGGAACCTGTAGTTAATGAGCTTTAAATTAAAATTGTCCTTAAACAACAACAACAACCAACTCAAAGGGGACGCATAATAGGTAGCCCAGCGTCCCTAGCTAATTTGTACACCAACTATTAAAAGAACTGAATAGTAAGAGGATGTATAAAGTGACTAAATATACATATAAAAACATGAGGGCACACTTAAAATAGAAATTAGCAGTAAGTAATACTGAATTAGGAGTTTCTATTCTATAAGTGGTATATTTTACTAAAAGCTCTTGCCATACTCTTCTCTTTAATTAGATTTAGGACACTAGTGGCCTTTCCTTAGTGTATTCAGAAAAAAATGGGCAGGATGGGGGGTTAACATCCCCAACTTTTTGCTTTTATGATGAGCACAAGAATTATATACTTATAAGCTATTGCATAAAATAAAAACAAACTAGTATATGTTGTTTAACGAATTATCAGTAACAATTCAAAAGAGCTGGAAAAATTGCAACATAATGGAAATATCATAAATAAACACTTTCCATCTACACCTTTTTATCTCTCAACCCTTTTCATTTGTTTAGGAATCCAGTTCTGTATAAGTGTAGCTATAAATCACAAAATTACTTCCTATGAATTTTGGTGCATCTAAGAATGATACATGTTTGGATCCCATGCAGAATTGTATTGCATTTATTTCAGTAACAAGTCTGAACCCAACCTATTCGGAAAATATCTAGTCAGCATTTCACCAGAAGTATTGCATTTATAAACCTAACACTAGTATATGCAATGTCATCAAAAAAAGTGTAGTTTTCAGCGTGATCCTGACAATTTCACCATTTTGTCGAATATTTTTAACATTTCTGAATATCACTGTACCCCATTTCAGGATTTTAGGAAATCCTAAAATGTGGCGGATAACTGTGAAGCATCCTTATGAAATGCCAGAACCACCTCATTTAGGGTCTCGTATAAAGCTTGCGAATGCGAAAAACAGGGATGAAATGTGTGTACGCAACTTTTCATGTAGTTGTTGTGATCTATAAAAAACAAACTTGATGTTAAAAGCCATGTCCCAAATTAAAGCCTAACTGAATCTGAATAGATTTCAGACATTTAATTTCACTTTATATAAAACTTTAAATTACACCATCAGATCTGAAATAAGCAGAATCTGAAATAAGTGTCACATATACTGTATATATATTTATATTCTTTTACTGGTGAGCTGTAACTATACAAGGGCACCTGTTGCATAAATAGGAAAAGTTTCCTTGACCTCTCACCCCCTGCACCAGACTGTAGAGGAGCTGAGCAGCTCCTTTAGTGAAAGACTTTTACACCCCGTTTGTAAAAATTAGCGCTACCGCAGGTCATTCATCATTGTTGCCTTCAGACTCTACAATGCGACACTATAACTGCAGTAATTTGTGCAATATTTAATGTGCAATCAATATTCAATACCTTCTGAAATAACCTGTTTTATATTTCATATCCACTGCAATAACTATAATATATATATATATATATATATATATATATATATATACACACACACCTATTCATATAAATACCCAGTTCATACCCTGTGCAATAAACCTGAATATACTGTATATACCCCATGCACCTTTTGCCACCTTCTTCTTTTAGACTATGTGACGAGCAAATTTTTCCACTGTGAGATCAATACTAAATTAAGGTGCATGCCATATTTAAATGTTTCCACACCCTCATATTCCTCTCTCTAATAAACAATGTAACTTGTACCACAGATAAATACATTACATAAAGGTGTGATGTATTCACACGGATTGTATTGTAAATACCATTGTGAAGCAGTGTGTAATGGTGCACAATGGAAGCACAAGTGTGCGTTGAAAATGGGAGAATCAAAGGATAAATTTTTTTTTTCTTTTAGGATCAATTCCATTCCCTGGCCCATGATGATGACTGGCTTAATCCAATAAAACTTGTTAGAGGATTGCTTTGGGACTATGAGCCAAGTGAAGTTCTGGAGAGACCGACCAAGTGGATCATCACAGGTGTTAAACAAAGGCAGGTCAGTTTGCACAAGTCTGAGGTAGAAAAAAAAAATAAAAAGAGATGGGTAGCTGAGTGCGCGGTTATAAAGAAGTACAAATGAATATGATTAACCATTAATTTTATAGATCTTTATAAATGATAGGTGCATTTAGCATATATATTTAATCTGAGCAAAAAAAGGATGCAGCTTCAGCTGCAGTCAGTTCATTCATTCCTTTATAGATGGATTAGAAAATGCCATGTTTGCCCATATCAATAGACTGTGTGCTGTTTTTCCAGATTTTTGTCATTTCATTTTTGTTCATTTTCAACTAGTTACAGCTGATAACCACTGCAGGGTTCTAAACGGCTCCTACCTGAACTCTCTACCTGAAGCAACATTTTAGTATTAAAATAATTCTCTGAATTTATCCATAAATCTGTGATGTTACTGCCAGCACTAAGTTTTACACTGCCTGCCATGAATGGCCCTGTTAAAATAAACAGTACATATCAGACTCCATTGCCATTCATAATACCTTGTTTAATTCATCACAGCTCTACTGTGGCTACCAAACACATTTTTCCCGCTCTTCAACTCACAAACATCTATTTGTGCCTGTTAAAGTGCGCCGTTTTGAACTTTAAAATCTCTCTGCGGTTGCCATTAGTATCCATTAAATAACATTGATTAGCTGGCTTATTCAAATAAACAATGACATTCATGCAGTGCTTTTGCAATGCCATGTAATGGCCTTCCTTTAGGGTATAAAGTGCAGCTTCTGTCTGAAGTAAAACAGCAGCCATGCCTACTGTTTGCAGAAGGATCTACACCAGTGTTTTTCAATCCTGGTCCTCATGTTTTAGATCAGGCATCCCCAAAGTCGGTCCTTGAGGGCCTCTGTCCTGCAGGTTTTAGAGGTTTCCCTGCACCAGCACAGCTGATTTATGTTGATAGTTGATTAACAGTTTTTGCTGAACTGAAGCAGAGAAACCTCTAAAACCTGCAGGACAGCGGTCCTCGAGGACCGACTTTGGGGATGCCTGTTTTAGATGTTTTCCAGCTTTCACACACCTGTTATCAATTGATAGCAGATTATCAGGCTTTGCTGAACTGCTATCATCTGAATCAGGTGTGCTGAACCTCAGAAACATCCAAAACATGCAGAGCAGAATGCCTTGAGGACCAGGGTTAAAAAAACACTGATCTACACCAAGTAACCGCGTCTCAGTTACATCAGTCATTGGGAACAAAGCACCGAAAGCTACAGACACTTTAGACAGCATACTGGGAATCACTTTTATGCATGCCTGTAAATACTCAGCATTTCTCCACATTGTCTAAAGGAACATCCAGTGATTTATTCATTGAAACAGAACCAGTGGCAGAGCTTTACCTTTTACCCTTTACAGTCACAGTGCTATCCTTTGCAAGGCACTGCATGTTGAAATCAAAGATCGTTAATTGAAAACCCCTCTACACCTTTACAGTCACTTATATTTAAGTAGCCCAGAAAGCCACAATGAGACCCCTGCAGTCACATTAAACACCAGTAACACTGAACCTGAGCACTTACAATAAAGGCACTTTAGCTTCAAAAAATAATTATACTTTTTTTTTTTCCTGAATTAACCACTTTTATTTATTGTTCAAATAATCTCACACAATCAAAACCTCAGAATAGGCTGGGGTTTTTCTTAGATATTTCCTGACTTAGAAAAGGAACAGCTCACAGTTTTTCACAGCCTCACAAATCTTAATAAAATATAGCTAACATTTCTGAGCTTAAGTCCCCAGCCAAGAAATACACATCTTAAATGTAAAGGGGTGCAATACTTTTAATTATGTCTTGACATAAGGTTAAATCAAACTAACAATGGTGTTAGTAAAGCTCTTATACTTTACTAAAAGTATAGAATTCTTACGCAATAGCCTGTTTTTATGTTTAACTCTTTAAAACAGTTTCTCCTGGGGATTCCTTTCGGTAACATAAATCTTGTTTTTTACCACATTAACAACATCCTTGTCTAAGAATGGGGATCATATTAACTTAAGATTCAATTTAATTGGCCGAGGCCCTTTACAGTGGATGCATTTTTTCTAATTGTTATTTTATTATGCCACACCTCAGAGTATTGGACTGAATTTGAATGCATTTATAGTATGAAATGGCTCAATTCTAGTGAGGAGTTGGACATACTGCTACATCTCAATAAGCTCATCACTGGAATGTATATTCATTAAATAAACTCAAATAAAAAAGTATAAGGGAGCCTAGGCGGAAGTTCAACAGAAGAAACTGATTGCATGTCTACATTCACCTGCGACACAGCCAATAAGCTTTGAAGCACACCTCCACAAAAGCCAATCGGCATTCAAAGTCTTAAAAGGCTTACAATCCACACCTAGTCTGTTACCTAGTGAGCAGACTGTGGTTTCGCTGTGTGACTTCATTCAGATGACCCCATTTCAACCCACCTCCAGCCCCTCCTCCACCATCATAGCTAAAACTTCATCAGAGTCTCATTCCTCCAGTACTCTTGCTGCGTTCCCCATCTCATTTTAAGTGCTGGGCAGAAGACCGCCATATTGAGCCTCGTTCTGCAAGAGGTTTCTTCCCAATGGGGAGTTCTTCCTCTCCACTGTCGCTTCATGCTTGCTCATCATGGACAGGTTCTCTCAACCTCTGTTATCCAACTGGACTTCCATCTTCCAGGTCCCTGAGTGAAGCTCTAGTATCAGCTCAAGCATCCACTGGATCTCCCTATAAAGTTTAGCATCTCACTAACCAGCAGTCTACAGACTGACCAACTTCATCTATCTCAACTCCACAACCAGTCTCAGGCCTGAGGGGAAACAGCACTATTCTTTGCTCCTGTTCATGCATATCTATCAAAATTAAGTGCTATGTTTCCTGCCGAGGTCTGAGTGCCAAAGACAAAGTAATTGTATCAATAAATTTCTTCTAATCGTCTTTTCTCTTCACGCGAGTTTTTCAGATTGAAATACATTGATCACAGATTCATTAGACAATTTTTTTTATAATTAAAGCTTTCAGCTGAAGGCCGTTTATGTGAATAATCACATAAACCAAATTAAATGAAAAACAAAAATTAGGAACGTTCTGGCCTTAGCCTAGTGGTCAGACTGCCGAATTGACAGCCATTATCCTTAAAAAGTAAGGCAGAGCAAGAGGCCTTTTCCAAGAGATACTGTTTGTTTATGTATTGCTGTATGGAAGCATGTTATGGGTATCTTAGTGGGGGGGTTGTAGAAAAAGGCAAAGGAGAGAAAATATATCCATGCAAAATCCATTCAAGAGTTTCGCAGGAATTTAAAAGACGTGGGCTGAAGCTAGAATCAAAGCTTCCAGGTTTCCCATATAAAGTGTAACCAGTTCACAGGCTTCACCTGTTGGGTTATTTCTATTAAGCCACTCCTAAACCAGATTTTACCTGTGCAAAGGAAAAAATATGTAATTCATGATAACCGTTTCCCCGTGCTAAGCCAGCAAGGCATTATTCTATGCTGACTTAAATGCAGACACAGCTAGCAGGCAAATGGATGCCTTTTGAATAAATGTGCAAGGCGATGCAGAGCTATCAGACAGAAGTTGATAAAGTAATTGGAGTACTACAAAGCTTTTTTTCAATGGAGGAAGGAGAAGTTATTGATTTGGTTGGCACTGCAATGTATTGAGAATTGAGCTTTAATTCTCTAGACAAACTCAAAAAAAGAAAAAGAAGATGAGGTGAGTCGAGTAAAGTGAGGTGAGTCGACCCCGATGCCAGCAAGCCTTTCTTAGCAAGAACAGGGTTTGTGTAATTCAATAACTCGCTTGCTCACAGGCTCCGACAGGATCCAAACTGTACTGATGGGAATGCCCATCATTGGCAAGCGATTGATTTGTTTGGAGCCACACTGATTTTGCAACTTTGAGTTGTCTAACCAAGACAGCAACAAGACAGGAAAGCCTAGTTAAAAACCTGTTTGAAGCAAAAGTTTTTTTTTTTTTTACCTTTGGGGACAGCAGAGTAGATCTACAGCAAAGTGAACAAGCATGGAAAGGAACAGAGCTGCACAATAAAAAGGGGAAATAAACATTTAACATGCATTTAACATGCATTTTCCAGATAAATCAAGGTCCCGGTGTCTGAAGGAATTTACTGTTGATGTTGTAATGGGTTACATTTTGTTGTACAAAGCTTGTTTCCTCTGCTGATAATCTTCATATAGGTGCTATTTATTTTTTGTTCAATCTTGCACCTGCTGAAATTATCTAACCGTTGTCTTATCAATCATGGCATCAATGCACTTGATTGGCTAGCAAAATAACCTGACTGAAGCGCCAGGGTTTATGAGCAACATTAGAGACTACAGAGGTAACAGTGAAGACAACTATTCCAGGTTAATTTTAATTGATTACCACACACCAGTGTATTTTGGAAATGTTAGTCTTGCAAAGATGACATTTCTTGTTTATATGTGCTAAATGAGCAAACTGCATTTAATATTCAGTGAATTGAACTCTCTTTGCTCTTGTTACATGTCCTTTAAAGTTTATTTTTGTATCTAGTAGGCAACTAGCTAAGAATCTCAAGGTTTTCTTTGCTTGTGTTGACTCAGACATGGAAAGCTTGTGGATTTCTGTTGATTCATTGGGGACTGATGCATGCAAAAAGTGTCATAGCCTTTGGTAGAGAAGGCTGAGCTCAGCTCAGACTGAACAAACTAATGCCATTAGTGTCTCTAATACCATTGTACTGTCCTCCCAGGCTTAACTCATTATGCGGCTTCCAGTGCTACAGAACCATTATGAGTATAAACCCAGGACCAAACATTTGGTCCAACTTTACACCCCATCTTTGATGTTGAAAAAAAAACACAATCACTGTGAGCTTGCTGTGGCCTGACCTGGGGAGGGGCTATTGTTGCTTTTCTATGAACTGGCATGAGCACTGACAATGACCCAGCGTGCATTTATGTCTGTGTGTGTGAGGGAACACACGCTCATTCCTACACAATACACCATTGTCTCCTGAACCTCAACAGTAATTTATGTATATTCTCTTTCTTCGTCTCATCCTTCCCTGTTCTACAATCCTTTTGTTGTATTGCTGTTTTTTCCTCTTATCCTTTTAACATACCTCCCTTAAAGTGATGTCACCTTTCTCATTTTTTGTCACTGCCATCATCCAATATTGACACTCAATTGAAAATTACATATCCCTCTATTTTTTTTCTCAATTCATACTAATAGACATCATACTTAAGCCACTTAGTAGGAACATACAGAAAACATAAGCGACATAAACTGCATGTTGCAGCCGTAGACTTCATAAAAAGCCCAATCACATCACTCTGGGCTGATCCCAGAATATGCAGACTGAATCATGCATTGACTGACAATATGCTATCTGCATAGAAATCCATCCCCTACTATTGGCACATTTGCATCAGTCTTGAACAGCTGGGCATTAAACCTCCTAACTAGCACCAGGAGAGCTTGATTTTATCTATAACATTTATTGGTTTATTTTTGACAAATATCATAAAAGAAAGAAAATGCAAACATTTAAACATATCAAGCAAAGTTTATATCAAAACATGCCTAATCTAGGCTAGAAAAATACCTAATAAAATCTTATTTTTGTACGGTGACAGCGAAATGCTTGATAAGAGCAATCCCATCCTTTTAACAGTTTTAATCATTTCATTTTGATTATTAGTAAGCAAAAAGTAGCACATAATTATAAAAGGGAAAGCAAAAACAAAACACAGCTTTTCACAAACCCTTGTGTGCATTTTGTTTTGATGGCTTGTTTTATGCCACATTTACTCTGACACCCCTAAATGAAACAGCAAAAAAACAGTATTGTGAAGCAAGAAACATAACAGAAAGATCAGTTCAGGGAGAAAGTTGAGGGAAAGTTTAAAACATGGCTGGGTCATAAAATAATAATAATAATAATAATAATAATAACTGATAAAAGTGAAAAGAACATGCCGAAATCAACCAAAAAGCTACTAGAGGCTGCAAAAGATTTGAGACTGGGGTTTGAAGTATATACATGAATCATCTGTTAGATTGGCCTAGTCAAAGTCCAAATAGACTAGGAGCTCTGAATGCAAGTCTTTTGGGGTCGACTCTGCACTTTTCGGGATATCTATTTCTAAAACCTTTAAAAATCATACTGTAAATCATGTTTCTTCAATTTTAATAATAAATCACTTAATATTAGTCTGTCACATTCAACCCAATTAAAATACACCAAGGTTTTTTGGGGAAAAAAAGTAAAACATGTTGGTTGACTGCCCCTACCCACAGACCTGCCCCTCTACTTACAGCTGTAGTAGTAGTGTCTTCCTTCCACAAATTCAAAGCCCAGTGAGAACGGGGTGAATTTTTGGATCTTTTCAGAGAAGCGGACGGGTCCATATGCAGCAAACGGATTGTTACATTCCCACCTCTTCACTGCCTTTTTGGTCTCCACACAGCCTTTGAAGGCCTCCTCCTCAACCAGATAGAGCACCAGGGTCTCTGGCTGCTCCGGAACTGGAATCCCAGAGTCTGGATAGTAGGGGCAGTAGATGTCCAAGTAATCATTGAGGTTTAGCTGGACAGAAAGATCTCCTGCTGTTAACCTGGAAGAAGGAATAAAAAAGGTACATTAATATTTACAGAACAATTACAGGGTGATTGGACATAGAGGGGGGTGATTTAACATTAGCGATGCCTGGAGCAATATGGGTACATAAAGAAGACTGACAGTTCATCAATAACTTAATTACAGAGGGTGATAAAGCAAAAGTCAACCAAGTGTTCACAGTCACATTTTGGGATTATATATATATATATATATATATATATATTTTATTCCCAGACCAGTGAGGGATTTTTTTCCCCCCTGCTTGAGATGGGAGGAAAAACAATTCTCCATATGCTAATTAACACCACTGAGGGGAGACAAGTGTGAAATAAACTCCACTCCCTCTGCTTTCCACCTCCTACAGTGGAGCCTAGGCACACACCGCCGAGCACCAACCTAAACAAACGTGCACGTGAATAAACAGCAGAGTCAGTCAAGGCTGACTAGCTTTTGGCACAACAACAATTTTGGACAAGACAGCATCATTAGAACAGAGAAGCTGCATAATGTATGCTCCTTCAGACTGAGGGTTCTGACTTCCTGTCAGCTTGAGTATAAAGAGCTACCCATGTACAAAGCAATAAAGGAAAGAGGATGGGGGTCCAGACTAATTTCCAGAGTTGTCTGTTCCTTTGACTCATTTTACAAAATTGTAGAAACACAAACAGTGCATTGTCTAAACATAATGATGATGAACCCATGTGTGCATGCAGCAGATTTAATCAAGATTTTTTATAATATGAAGATGATTTTTTTGCAAGACAATATATACCCATTACATTCTATGTACATTGCGTTGAACAGTATTCAAAATATTTATGAATAGTGACACAAGGGATAGATGGGACTGCAAAAAAACCTAAAATAATAATAATGATCAAAGGAGTAAAGGGGCGAAGAAAGGAAAGAAGGTCAAGAGATAGAATGCAAATAAAACAAAACCGAAGAGCATGGAAACAGAGGCTAATAAAAGATGGAAGAAAAGAAAAGGCCAAACAGGAAAGAAGGTAAGCACACAAGAAAGGAGTGAAGGAAGGAAGGAAAGACAAGACAAGGCCATGAAGGGGCAAATAAAACAAAGACCACAGGAAACAATGGGTAGATGGACATAAAATAAGGAACAAAAAGGTACATGGATGGACAGAAGAAATAAGAATTTAGGACAATCCGGACCAAGGAACGGATGAAAAGCCATACAAGGAGGAAAATGGAAAAGTAAGTAAAAATTTATAGAACTGAAGGAAGACAAATTGACAGACAAGAAGGATGAAAAAAAAGACAAGGAAAAGTGAGTGAGGATGGGCACTAAAACAGATGAGTGAAAAAAATAAGAGAGGAAGGAAGGAAGGAAGGAAGGAAGGAAGGAAGGAAGGAAGGAAGGAAGGAAGGAAGGAAGGAAGATTTGCAAATTCCAGGAAAGACCTTTTCCCATAAATATCCCCATTCCAAAAAATCTGCTTACAGACTTTTTCAGACTATATGGGAACCTTGCAGGAAATATGTGATTTGCGACAGGAGACAGATAAAGAGCTACAAAGTACAAAACTAAGGCAAAAGAAAAAAGTTGGATGAATAGGTGAATAAAGTGGAGTAAAGAGAAAAGAAAGTGTTTTAATTAGTGACCCTAGAGAGCCTGAGTGCAGACACTCAGAGCACAGAACAACGGCATGGAGGAGGAGAGGAGACAGACTTTAATTGGCCTCTTCTTCTCATGAAGAAACAAGAGAGAAGAATGAGGGGCAGAATGTGGCTTGAGCAGAAGGTTCAGGTCCGTCAGTGGGAGTCTATAGAGGGGTGACAGACCAGAGGAAAGAGGAAGAGGAGTGCTGGGGCTCACTGAAGAGGAACATGAGAGGGAAGAGGAGCGAAGAGTTAGGGGAAGAGAGGTGGAGGTACAGGGCGGAGCGCTCTCGAGTTAAGCAGCCGAACAAAGAATAGAGAAAAAGAATAAATAGCAGGAAAAAAAAAATCAGTGCAGAGCACCAGTAGTGGTAGGAGGGGGAAAAGGAGGTACTCAGCAAACCTGATGAAGGCAGAAATGGAGCGGATAGATGTGAAAGGAAGCAGGAGTCAGAGATGGTCCAGCAAATTTAAAGAGTGCACCAAAAATGGATGGAGCAATAAGAAGAAAAATGACATGAGATTCTATGAGAAAATGGGAGCTAAAAGATCTTTAGATGGTCTAATATTGAGATATTGGGTAAATATCTCAGCAGAATGCTGGATTGTTAGATATGTTCAAAAGTCTTTTCTGAACTCCAAGTCAAACTTTGTTCATTAAAATGAAAGTCCCATTTTCCCCTTAAATTCATGCCTGTTGGAGGTTAGCAATGCAAATGATTATCCTTTGACCTAATTAAACCCAATAACATTTAATACCCTTTTTACACCGAATGTAAAAAAAACAACTTATTTCTCACTCTTGCATTCAAATATAGAAGAGATGAAACCAGCAAAATTTAGCAATAAAGAAGCTGGAAAAATAGAAAGCATCCAAGTAAATTTTCAATAATAAAAAATAAGGTTTATTTTGAAATTTTAACTTGAAATACTCAAAGTATTTTGATGAAAATTTAAGTAATCCTTGTGGTTATTATGAGACTATAACAAATGGAATTGCAAAGAATGAGGACATAAAGGACCTTTTTGCAGATGATCATTTACCAATTTCTTACCATCACTTGTTCTATATTTCAAGTGATGGCAGAGAGAATATTGATTAAACTATAGTTGTTCAAACCAGTTTTATGTCCTGAGTTTAAAATGAGGCAGGACTTTTACCACTTTTGCAGCTGTTTCCACAGCAGATTGTCTGAAGGGATAAATAAATGTTTTTTTTTTACTCTGTACTAAACAAGATTTTTTTCATATTTTTTTTTATCATTTTTATTTTCTTACAAGGCAAATGTTTGCAGGCAGATAAAATTCCAAGTTTCAAACCTATCCACATTTCAATGGTATTCAAAACAACATCTTTTCAAACCAGAGATAATACCCTGAGATAAAGAATCCCTGCTCAGCCTGGTGCGTGTTCAAGTATGTGTTTAGGATGCCTGAAATCCTGGAGACGATCCATCATGGACACGACAAAAATCGATCAACTCAGGACCCACATGAGCCATGTCGCCTGATCAATACCTCTTCTGCCATTGTGTGCGTGTCTGGATATCAAGCCCTGTCCAATCGCTCTATTACCTGAGTACACTAATTACATCAGAAAGGAGGCTGATTTATGTGGCGAGACAAACAGTATAGGGTGCAGTCCAAAGCAAGCACACAGTTTTGCACATTAATACAGAGAATCACAAAACTCCCTTTATTCCGTCTTACCACCTGTGGTGCTTTTTAAGATACCTCAGCCAGAGAAAGGTTTCCTGTTGAACTGTGTGTGTGTGTGAATTCAATAGACTCGTGCTGAGTCAATATGCTGCACTCCCTGCTATACATGTCACTCATCTTAAGATTTCCTCTTCAGCTTCTCTTCTCCCCCACCCTCTCTCTCTTCTGCTTCCCTGCGAGGTCTCCTCCCTCATCTTCCCCCAACTTTAGGTGACATGCACTTATTCTCCGTCTGTTGCTTCCAGAGAGTGCACATCCTTATATTACCTGACCCCCTACCTCCGACAAGCCTCCACCCTAAGCCGGTGCCAGATGCAACCCAGCAATTACAGAGTTGGTGTGGGGCTATATTCATGTCAACCTGTCATCTCTCTTTCCTCCCTCATAACTTTCCTTCCTTCCCTCCATCCCTTTCTTCCTCTCTGGACCCGCTAGGCCTGGGTACCCCCTAATTACACACAGCATTCCTCCTCCTCTTGGCAGACACCAAAAAGCAGTGGGGTGACAGCAAAGTGGGCATCATGGGAGAAGCCTTGAAAGGCTGTAGGTGTCGGGGACGAGTATACCAGTGCAACCCGGCTGAGGGAGAATCCTCCAGATGTGGCAAAGACGGGTTAGGTCCAGTTTACCAGAGCCAAGGCACATTTGGAATAACAGTGACTCACACATGGATAACAGGGCAGGCTCCATGCAATATGCGATGGAGTTTCATATTGTTGCAGGCTTCTTGCTGATAAGGAATCCAAGATAACAAGCTTAGCTCTTCAGTAGAAATGGCAACACTTATCCCCAATAATCACTGAACCCTGCATTACAAATACTGGAACTCAGCTTAGCTGATAACCTGCAGATGTGTCCTTGTTTCCCCGTCTAGCACACACACCTACACAGGCCAATGTCTATGTGTGTGTGTGCAGTTTTAATGAAATGCAGCGGGATGACTGTGGCAGGGACCTTTGATCCTTTAATATGAGAGAATAATTAAAGGAGCAACAATCTTGCAACAGCCTCAGGAATACAGAACAGATTCTCAAATGTGCACAGCAGCTGCATATGCCCCAGTACACATCACATATCTACTTCCCATACCAGTCCAGGAGAAAAATATCATATGAAAATAAAAATGCTAAAAACACAATATCACTTCCTGCCATTATGAAAAAAAGGAAACAATCACTTCTGTTAGATAGAAGAATGGTTTCTAGTTCCATTCAGTGATGGTGGGAGGCCAAAATGCTTGGTTGGTTTCTAGGTTTGACTACGGCCAGTGGCAGGAGGGAGACTGCTAACTCTGCTTTCTACGCTTAATGGGCACAGCACCCTTTGGTCGCACTGACGAGGCTGGATGCGCTACGCTGTGGTGAATCCTAAAACAACACTCTAGGTTACCGGGGTGGATCTATGAGCTCTCTTTCACGTGTTAAACTGGCTTTTATTTCCACACCACGTTACTTTAAAGATCACCAGCTAAAAGTAAAATTAACAAAGGGTGAGGTTTGGTCCCAAGGAACAAAACAAGATTACTGTAAAACAGCATGACAATCTCTGGCATGAGTTGGTTTAATCCAACATGTCATCACAAAAAATGTTGACACCTCAAATGAATCAAAACAGCTTTTGTTTAGTGAGCTCTCGCTTAGCTACCGTGTGAAAACT